ACCGCTCGGAGGAGTGGGCGGCCCAGTGCCGCCACTTGCGCCTGTGCCACACCTCGGTGTGCCACTCCCGGAAGCTGGCTGGCCGCGTGGAGCGCGAGTTCGTGGCCATGCGGCTGGTGCACGTCCACCTCGAGGACTCGGCGGCGGTGGCGCAGGCGGACCCGCGCGCGGGCCAGTGGGGCGGCCCCGACGGGCAGCTGGGCGAGTGGACGCGGCGGAAGGGGGGCACCCAAACAGTGGACGGGCACTGGCGCAACCTCCGCCGGGGCGGGCCCCACAGGGGCGTGAACACGTCCCTGGCGGATGCGGTGTCCCAGGCGGTCCTCGTCCACCACCCAGGGGTCCTCTGTGTCTTGTATGCAAGACATGGGCAATGTGTCTTACATCCAAGACACGTAATGTAAGCTGGGAGACATGTAAGATGCAATAACAACAAATACGTACAATCAACTGGAATCCGTTGCCATTGGCACAGCGACGACCAGCGTTCGTTCACTCATGGTGATTTTCATTTCTATTTGCACGGGTTCAATAAACATTGAACCAAAAGAAAGATGTGTATAAAGAAGGGGGACCTTTCCACATCGTAATTGTCGCGAGCACATGAGTACGAACTGCTGGCCACGATCTGTTGCCCCGTGCTTGACACAAACAACGTTACAGAGGATGTGACATTCAGGCGCGATGTCTTAGCCCAGAAGACGAGTACTCAGGCACCAAATCCTTGCAACAAGTAGGATACCCATCTACGCCAAAATGGCTTTGAGCCTGGCTAGGAGGAGGAGGAGGAGGAGGAGGAGGAGGACGAGGACGAGGACGAGGAGGAGGAGGAGGAGGGGGAGGAGGAGCAGCGGCAGCAGCAACAGCAGCAGCAGCAGCAGCAGAAGCAGCGGGGCAGGGCAAGAGGAGCGAGAGGAAGACGAGGAGGAGGAGGAGAAGCAGGAGCAGCAGCAGCAGGAGGAGGAGGAGGAGGAGGGGAGGGAGGAGCAGGACCAGGGGAAGGAGGAGGCCTCCTCCTCCTCCTCCTCCTCGTCCTCCGCCTCCTCCTCCTCCTCCTCCTCCTCCTCCTCCTCCCTCCTCCTCCTCCTCCTCCTCCTCCTCCTCCTCCTTCTCCTCCTCCTCCTTGTCCAACTCCGACCGCGGCGCAAACATTTTGTGAACGCCCCTTTGCGCCATGCCGAACAGGCGCAAACATTTTGTGAACGCCCCTTCGCGCCATCCCGAGCTGGCGCAAACATTTTGCGAACGCGAAGTGCCGCAGCGCGAGCAGGCGCAAACATTTTGTGAACGCCAACTTGTTTTCCAGGCGTCTGTTCCCTGCGGCCTCGCCATGGCAGCCCAGTCGCTTGTTGTTTATAGCAAATAACTCCTCCTCCTCCTCCTCCTCCTCCTCCTCCTCCTCCTCCTCCTCCTCCTCCTCCTCCTCCTCCTCCTCCTCCTCCTCCTCCTCCTCCTCCTCCTCCTCCTCCTCCTCTCCTGCTCCCCACCCTCCTGCTCCTGCCCTGTTCCTGCTCCTCCTCTTCCTCTCCTCCTCCTCCTCCTCCTCTCCTCCTCCTCCGCCTCATGATCCTCCTCCTCCGCCTCCTCATTCTCCTCTCCTCCGCCTCCTCCTCCTCCTCCCCCTCCTCATCCTCATCCTCATCCTCATCCTCATCCTCCTCCCCCTTATGCTCATCATCCTCCTCCTCCTCCTCCTCGTCCTCTTCTCCCCCTCGTCCTCCTCGTCGTCCTCCTCCTCCTCCTCCCCTCCTCTTCTCCTCCTCCTCCTCCTCCTCCTCCTCCTCCTCCCTCCTCCTCCCTCTCTTCCTCATCCTCCTCCTCCCCCTCCTCTCCTCCTCCTCCTCCTCATCATCCTCATCCTCATCTCATCCTCATCATCATTCTCCTCCTCCTCCTCTCTCCTCCTCCTCCGCTCCACATCCTCCTCCTCCTCCTGCTCCAGCTGCTCCTCCTCCTCCTCCTCCCTCCCTCCTCCTCCTCCTTCCTCCTCCTCCTCGTCCTCCTCCTCCCCCTCCTATTCCTCCTCCTCCTCCTCCTCCTCCTCCTCCTCGTCCTCCTCCTCCTCCTCCTCCTCCTCCTCCTCATGCTCCTGCTCCTGCTGCTGCTGATGATGATGCTTCTGCTTCTGCTCCTGCTGCTGCTGCTGATGTTGTTGCTGCTGCTGCTTCTGCTGCTGATGCTGATGTTACGCGCTACGTTGCGATCTTGTGTCCAAGACCCCGTGACAAGAAAAAATCGAACAGCAAACGTTTGGCCCAAATCGATCGGCGCGCCTTCGACGCACACGATTTCAAGAACGAGTTAAGCGACTCGTCCACCCAACAGGCCCATCTGGCTGGTGAGCCCGCACGTGAGATTTTCACAGCTAGCTCCATCAGCTGGTGATGTTTGGGTTTGTACTCCAGCCCAAGTGCTTCGCACGCGGCCATGAATAACTTCACATGATCGACAAACTCTTGAATGTCGCTGTCGGGGAATATCTTATCGTTTTTCTTTATCAAGTCCAGTAGGCGAATGAGTGCCTTCACACCTGATATGAGTGAGCGTGCAATTCGGGCGTCAAGTCGATGATGGCACGTCGGCAAGAAGACAGCATGGCAAAACCTGAGCATGCCATTGGTTTCGCTGCCGTGCAGGTTCATCGCAGGCGCCTCGAAAGACCCGAACATACCTTTTGTCAAATTCTGAGCTCGTGTATGGAACACGCCAGACCGCTCTTCCGAACCGTACCAAGCGAACAACTCGGCCCTGATACGGTCCACAGAAACAGAAACTCGGTTATCCCAATTGCCACCTATCCGATATACATCAGCAGCGAATGCAATGTGAAATAATAACCCAATAAATGATTGAAATACTCCCAGTGACATGTTGTGCAGATAATCTGGTACGAGGCATCTTTCTGGTGTGATTCCTATGGTGGCGTCGAATATCGGGCATCGATGTCTGGTCATTGTCTCTGAGGTCGGGCGCCAAAATGTCAGAGGAACTGTTGGCGTTGGCAACGTATCGAAGTTGCTCGTGTAGCTGAGGTTGCTGCACGGTTCGAGTCGATCCCCTTTTCGCAAACGGAGGTCGGGCAGATCCGCTGCCAAGACCCTCCCTCGATTGCCTGACTTCGATCTGTCGTAGACTAGCGACGCCCTGACTCGCATGTACTGGTCAGCATCTAGAACCACAACATGTTCACACTCTCGGCACGCATTTTCGTAATCCACAATTGTTTTCGGCCTGCAAGGTACACCGAAGGGGGACATGCCCCTCCATGCATAGATGTCGTCTGAAGTTGCAAAGCACCATGGGCATGGGTGGCCGTCGGTGCTCCAGAGTGGATAGCCGAAGCTGTGCACATGCTCGGCCCAGTCACCCTTTATGAATAACACGCAGGCTCGCCAACCCAGCGGCTTGCCAGCTTCTTGCATACGCACCGTGTCACCATTGCGAAACGCTCCTCCGTCATGGCGGCATTGAGGCATCACGCCACGAGCCATGCACGCACAAGACCAATGAATGAACGACCACACTTGCCAAATACTGCACCAACCTCGGCATCCGCACCTGCGCATTTCTGAGCGCCTCAGAACACACAGCAAGTGCCGAACTCCCGAAAGGATCTCGTAAACCCACCAAGCGAGGCACCCGTCTGTCCTCGAAAATGATATTCCATCTACGTAGATTGCGATTGGGTGGACTGCTGTACCTGCTGGCGCCCCCAGCACAATCGGGTGGTCATGATACGACCTCGGGAGCTCTCCATCATCAATCGCCTTTTTCAGATTGGTTGCCATTTCTGGGAAGTGGCGTATCTCAGACGACAGTGCTTCGTGAGCAGGCAGACAAGGCACGTCAGCTAGAACGCGACTGGCGTCAAACCGGTTGAAAGTGGGCACGCCCAACTCGTAGAATTCAAAAGCAGAGTCCACACTCCCGACTATTGTGTCGAAGTGTCGGCTGAAGTGTCCCGATTGGGCATCTGGTCGATAGCCGAGGCGACCAGCAAGTGCAACGCAACCACCAAGACTCGCCCAGTAGCACAAAACACAGGCGGTCTTAGCACTTATGCCGCCCGATTGTTTCAATGACACAACAAAGTCAGCAAAATGCTGGCCCGCCTCTTCAGCAGAAATGTTGGCGTACACATCATCGCCATCATCAATCTGTATGGGCGGCGCAGGGGCTTCCCATGAGTGAAGGGGTACCTCCCAGGAGTGTTTCGTCATTTCGGGAAACGATGTTGGCCCGAGCAAATTGGTTTTGAGCCAAAATGGCTTACGACGGATTGCGATGAGGGTGCGGTGCACAGGTTGTATGTCGTATTGATGAGGATGGCATGCAAATGATGATGACGAGCATGATAATGACGATGATGGCAATGATGATGGATGACAAGGGTGGCAATGATGATGATGGCAATGATGATGATGATGTCAATGATGATGGAAATGATGATTGTAATGGTGATGGCGTGATGGTGACGATGATGGCAATGATGATGGCAATGATGATTGTGGAGGGATTGGGGGGGAGGGAGGTGCAAGGGAAAGCGAAAGGAGGGGATGGGGGCGGGGGTGGAGAGGGGGCAGCAGAGACTAAGGGGGAGGGGGGAGGGGGGAGGGAAGGAGAGGAGGGGGTGATGATGGTTTTCCATTTTCGCTCAATGCTGTTGCCTTGACGCCCCACGCCAGGCTCGATCTTGCAGCGCCGACTAACAGAAGAAGTGTGTGGGGCCACTGGGGGTCCATCTGAGAGTGTTTTGAGTTTCATGTGAGTTTCATCTGAGTTTCATCTGAGTTTCATCTGTGTCTTAAAAGTTTCATATGCGTTTTGCTTGAGACATCATACAAAAAATGTAGAGTTTCATCTGGAGTTTCATCGGAGTTTCATTTGAGTTTCATCGCGAAATCATACCGACTCCAGGCTGAAACAGGGCCGCGCACACACAACAGTTAAAAGCTGCATGGTGAAGGTGCCATGTAAGCACTAAGCTGCGAATATCATCATCAGCGCTTCCTGGCTGAGTTCATTTTCTTGAGGTCGCTCACCGCAGCGTCGGAATTATCGACCGCAGCTGTGACCTCGTCTAGCTTCGCGAACTCATGCCTCCACGTGGCAGTCGATACATTTTTCTTCGCGTATTTGTTGAAGTCTTCCTGAAGGACCCACTCGGTCCAGAAGTTCGATGCTTTTTTCAAGCGCTCCACTTCGGCCTGGGCATCTGTGATCTCCTTCAGCGTAACAGGGTTGTTCGCCCACGACCAAGACGTGTGTTTACGTACGATATCCAGCAAGTCAGTAGCCGATGCCGACGTGGCCATCATCTTAGCCTTGAGCTGTTTGGCCTTCGCCAGGTTCGCCGCGAGCTCCTTCTTCTCCGCATCCTCGTCACCAGGCGTGGCGTCGGCGTCGGGAGTCGTGTCCTTGCGCACCCTCTTGGTACTCTTGCCAGTGGCTGGCGGCCGAGCCGCTGAATCGGGGTTGCCCCTCTTAGTCGAGGCGCCGGCACCAGTGGCCTCCTGGTCACCATGACCAGCGTTTTTTTTCTCCACTGCTTGCAGCACCATCACGTTCACCAGTACTGGTGTCACTCCCCAGGACCTTCTCGACCTTGACCGTCTTCCACGCCCTCTCGAACTTCTCCTTGAACTGCGTCTTGATGTACAGCACCTCGTACCGCTCGGTCATGTCGTTCCACTTCACGAAGGGCTTGCCACCGAGCGTCTTGCCCTGTGAGAAGAAGAGGCAACACTTCCACGCGTAGACCGCAGCCGCCCTGACGCTCTTCTCCTTGTCTGCAACAACTGCGACAGGCTCGTATGTGCCGATGGTCAGGTCCGTCGTGCTGTGCTTCTCGGTGGTCATCCTCTCCTCGCGAAGCTGCTCGGCTTTCAGAGCTAACCACTTCTTGCGAAACTCTCGCTGGGCGCTGTATGATTTCCCGACCGCCTTGTAGTCCGCTTCGAGCTGCTTGTCCCCTGCCTTGGCCTTCGACCACACTTGGCCGACGGTCCCACGCATGTCGAAGTGGCCGCCCTTTTCGATCTCGTCGTGCACCGCCTTCTCCAAGCTGCTCCAAGCACTGGGGAGGAGCTCGGGCGCGAGCTCAGTCGGTGGCGGCGCCCCTGCTGGGGCTGCAGCGCTGGGCGCTCCAGACTGGCAGACTCGAGCGATTGCAACCATCCTCGCCTCCATCTCGTCACCGAGCGCCTCGGCGCCACGCCCTGAGACATCCATAACCGAGTTGCGGGGGAACGCGTCGACGATGCCAGTCTGGCGCGCCACCTGACTCCCGACGTCTTCACCGTGGCCCTCGGTCTTCTCGACCGTGCATGCGGCGGCCTCGGCGCCAGCGCCGTCGCCGTTCCCCACTGCCATGTTCGGGTCGCGCTGAATTGCACAAAAACAAAAAGCACGCCTGCTTGATGCCGAAATCGCTACGGAATGGTGTTTGCATTTGTGATATGCATGAATGTGGTGATGATGATGATGACGATGATGATGATAAAAGTGACCATGATGACCATGTTGCTGACAATGATGATGACGATAACGACGTTGGCTGTCATGGTGGTGATCATGATTCCGTTCATGATGATGGCGTGGCTGCGCCGAACATTTCTTGTTCCAAACCACGTGGTGCTCAGGCCCCCCTCCTCCTACTCCCCCTCCTCCTCCTCCTCCTCCACCTCCTCCTCCTCCCCCTCCTCCTCCCCCTCCTCCTCCACCTCCTCCTCATCCTCAGACCAACTCGCAACAATCGCACCGCGCACTCTGCCAGGGCTCTACAGTGATGGTGATGACGATGATGTATGACGTTGGTGTTGGCCTCCGAACTTGATGATGATGATGATAATGGTGATGATGTGTATGGTGATGATGGTGTTGATGATTGTGATGGTCACTGAAATGGCGATGTCGATGATGGCGGTGATGACGATGGGCATGATAAGTGTGATGCGAATGGTTATGGTGGTGATGTTGTCAATGACGAAGACGATGTTTTTCCCCGCTGAACTTTCAATCAATGCGCGTTCACGCGCATTGGCGCACCGATCCCAGTGCCGAGCGAGACTGCTGAGAATGCTCTGGCGCGTCGGCAACCCGTATCGCGAGACCGCCCTCAGTCCCACAAATCGCCAGGCGGTCCACTCATCTCGCCGCTGCTCGGCCCCGAGGCCGACGAAGGGCCAGCCGAGGTCTCAGTTAAGGTCGGGGCACCCGATTTGACCTGAGTGGACTTCTGCTCGTCGACCGCGCTGCTCTTGGCAGCTTTCGGCGTCGCAGTGGGCTCGGCTGCAGCTGGGCGCTTCTTCGGGTTAGGCGCGCTTTTCTTCTTCGGCTTCGGCTGCTCGGCGTAGCGCATCTTCTCGTCCCGCACCTTGGTAAGATCCGCCTTCGTGACACCCCCTCCTTTCCAGACTTCGGCGAGCTCGATCGCCAAGGTGAGCCCCTTCATGGTCTGGTCCCAAATGCTCGGCAACTCTGCAGCTCCAGGTACATCCGCCAGCTTGATCTGCAGGACCTGGAACTTGGAGCCCTCCAGGTAGTTATGCTCGAAGATGATGAGGAGTGGCGAACGGTCGGCCCTCCTCGCGATCGTCAGCCCACGATTGTCGTCGATGATGGCTTCCCAGAGGGGGCCCCTGGAAGCGTTGAGCTCGACGTTCTTCATGACCCTGAACTCCTTGACCGACAGGTCGGGAATGGGCACGGTGTCGCCGTCAGTGAACTTCGCTTTCACGAAGTCGTCGTCTGCTGTGACCTCGCCGATGTAGATGTCACTGGTGAACGTCTTCATGTTCTGCTTGTCACTCGGCGCCCTCCACGCCTGCTTGGTGTCGAAGTCGAAGCCGTAGAAGTAGTTGACGTCGTCGTTCGGCGCGTCGTCCTCGGCCACCTGCGCGCCATCCTCGCCCTCGTCGTTCTCAGCCTCGTCGCCGCTCTCGTGGTGATCCTCTTCCTGGGCGCCCTCGTCGCCAACGTCGGCATCGGCGCCCTCGCCAGAGGGCTCTTCGTCATGCTGGCCCTCGGGCAGAGTCAAAGACACAGCCCAAGCAGGCACCGACTGCTTGCACAGCGCCTGCCCGATGTCCCTGCCCATGGACCGAAGCCGACCTGCAACTGTCACGACCCAGTCCCGCACCTCCTCCTTCGAGAGCTCGCGCTGCCACTCGCCAGACTTCTTCTGGTACACATGCTCGAGGGCCGACTCCATAGCGCGCTTCGTGAAGGAGGCGTTGCTCTGGATCTCGAGAAGCTCCCTCCACATGCTGGCGTGATCGTTGATCTTCTTGGGCTCCACCTTGCTGCCGTAGGTGACGAAGTCGGGCTTCGTCGCGTATTTTTCCAAGACGGTCGCCACGGCCTCGGGGTCTTGGCAAGTGCTCCTGGTCATGTCGGACGCTCGCCGCGCACTGGGAATGCGTGCTCGGGCTGCACCATTAAATGCTCGAGCCTAACAGGCAAAGGCGAAGATGATGATGACGATGACAGTGACGATGAAGGCAATGATGGCGATGAGGGCGATGATGACGATGAAGGTGATGATGACGATGAGGGTGATGATGGCGATGATGGCGATGATGACGATGAAGGCGATGATGACGATGATGGCGATGATGACGACGATGATGCTGGCAAGCCGGAAGGAGGCAGAGGATGAGGAAGAAGAGGAGGTGGATGATGATAAGTAGTAGGGGAGGGGAAAAGGAGGAGGAGGAGGAGGAGGAGGGGGAGGAGGAGGAGGAGGAGGAGGAGGAGGAGGAGGAGGAGGAGGAGCGATCAGGAGCGATCAGATGAAAGGACAGCGTACGTCCACCAACGGCGCCATGGACCGCATGAGGGTTAAAACTGAGGCCCCAGATTGGCCTCAGTTTTAACCCTCGGAAGTGGCAACATGAGCCACTCCCTCGGGGGGTGGAACGCGACCACTCGTCGACGTCGTCTGGGTCGTTCCACCCCCCCTTGCACCGAGGCCAACAAGTCCTTGTGACTCCGCCTCTCTCACCGCTCTTGGCGGTCCTCTTTCTCGTTATCCTCTGCCTTCTCATGATCATCCTCTTCCTCCTCGCTCTTCCTTCCTCCTCGTCCTCATCCTCCTCGTCCTCGTCCTGCTCCTCCCGCTGCTCGAGAATCCTGCTCTGTTTCCTACTCATTGCTACTCCGTTTCTCCTCCTCCTCTTTCTCCTGTCCACCTTTTCCCACTCCTCCACCTGCCCCATCCCCCTCCTCTTCCTCCGCCTCCTCCCCCTCCTCCTCCTCGCCCTTCCTCCTCCTCCTCCTCATATTTCTCGCAACGTGGGCATACAAATCATTGTGTTTTGCAGCTGCAACGCAGAATTGCGAAGACGTCGTCGCGCGAGATCCATGCGCCGCGCCAACGCGTTAATATTTCGTATACAAGCAATTATGTCTTATATAAGACACATGCGCGCGTGTCTTGCATGCAAGACACAGAGGACCTCTGGGCAGTGGGCCTACCTGGCCGGGCCCTCCGCCAACCTGCTCAGCTACTTGGGCGAGACGCTGCGGGAGCTGCGGCGGAGGCGCCAGGCCGACCTCGCGCTGGTGGGCCCAGCCCCACCAGGGGCCCCCGCGGGCGACGGCTACGCCCGGCGGGACAGGCTGCTCGCCCTGGCGGCCGAGCACGCCGCCCGCCGCGCGCGCGCGGACGAAGGCCAGGACGGCAGCCAGCGCGTCCGCCGCGAAGCGGCGGCGGCCGGGCCCTGCACCGCCCCCCGAAGCCCCGCCCCCCTTCCGGCGGCTTCGGCGCTCGGCGCACGGCGCGCTGCGCGCGGCCCCGGGCCAGCGCCTGGGTCTGCCGCCTGGCGCCCCCGACCCGCGACGGGACCCAGTGTGGAACGCGCGGTCGCGCTTCCATCACCTCGTCGTGGAGGAGCGGGCCCAGCGCACGCTGGAGCCGCCCGCCCCGGCGGGCCCCCCGCAGCCCAGACGCCCGCCATGGCAGCGCGGAGACCTGGCCGTGCTCGGCGGCAACGTCCCTCCCGAGTGGCGGGGCGCTCGCTTGAGCTAGGCTCTCGTCCTTTGTGCGCCTGGCCACCTGGCCCTTTCAAGCCCCCTGTGCCCCCATGTGGCCCATCGCCTCCTCCATGCCCCATCTGTCTCCCGTGCCCCCTGCGCCCCCCACGCCCCCCATGTCCGCGCGCGTCCCCCTGGCCCCCTGGCTTGCCCACAGGAATGACCGCCAAGCCCGCCGCGGCCATGCCCGTAGGCCATGGCCCTGGGTCTCTGGGGCATTCCCCCTGGCTTACCCCGAGGCTTCCGAAGGCCATCCCCAAGGGCCCCCCCCCCATGCCAGTCTCCGCGTGCAACCTCAGAGCTTACCCTTAGGCTTGCGGCAGGCTTCCCCAGGGCCTTCCCGGAGTTGTTCCTTCATTGTCTCCCTGTGGGCCCGCACTTGGGTTTACTAGAGGATCGCCCTGGGGCTTTCCCTTTGGCCCACCTCAGTCCTGCACCTGGGGCCATCCAGGCTTGCCTCGGGCCGACCCCAGGGAAAACGCATGGATTTAAATCGACACGAGCAACCATAATCAAGCACTTCTGCACTGATGCCTTGGGCCTCCTTATGTCCCAGTGGCCCTTTCCGCCCCTAATGGCCCAACGTTTGCCTTCGGCTTACCCCCGGGGCTTACTTGCCCGCAAGCCCGCCGCCAGGGCGTGCCCCAAGGCACACCCTCACGGCTTACCTTGGGCTTGCCCGGGCCTTGCCCCCGCGGCCAGTCAGGCGTGCCCCGGGGATTTGTGCGCTACCCCACCTCACTTACACGCGCCCCGACACGAACACGCATAGGCATGTATTTTGCACCTGATGTCGAATACCTCCATCCCTTCCTTCCTTTTTTCACCATCGCTGCTCGCTGTCCCTTGTTTCACTGCTTCACGAGCCTGCCATGATATTCTAAAACATATAAACAATATGCACCAGCCCCCGAAGGGGGATGACGCGCTTTGGGGGCGTCGCGAAGCTTTAGGATACGAGCGCGGGCGTCGACAGCAATGCCGGCGTCTGCCAGATGCTCGGTGGGTCCAAAGCCAGTGATCGGGGTCGGGGATCGCAGGAGGAGGGGAAGTAAGGGGGCCTACATGAAGCCGTGATGCGCAGGATCACGTAGCTTTGGGCCCTGCCTAAGGACGAGCGGGGTAGCCCACGGAGCGTTCGGCGTCTCCACCCCTTCTCTCTTCCCCTTCTATCGGAAGCCCGTGAAGCGCTCAATGTCCCCACCTCTCCCCATTATCCTCGTCCCTGGAGAGCCTCCAGCCCTTCTCCCCAATTCGGCCGAGCGCAGAGCGTTTCTCTGCGGCGAGGCGACGGGGGCGCGTCTGCAGCCCCGGTATGTTTTTCCTTGTCTGTAAAT